TTGACTGTTTACTAAATTTTAGGCTCTGCTGTGAATTTTGAAATGTATCTGTAAGCAAAAGATGAAAATCTAAGCTTTATACAGCTTTATACAGTTCTAGTAGAGGTAGATATGTCGCAAGCAAAACATCTAAGTGTGTGAAAGTAAAATGTATTAAATATAAACAAAGGTGGGGGTCCAAATACCTAAATTTCATAGTGACCTGAAAATAGCCAATTATAATGAATGAATGAATTATTGAGGAGAATGCCATATTTGAATGTTCTAAAAGAAATACTGAAATCATTCTTAGACACTATTATAATCACTGGGAACAAGGCAATGGAAATGATTTAAAGTTTCTGTCTCTCTCTCAAGACTTATTCAGTTTAATTGGAAAGACAGACTTACAGAGAGGAGAGACAGAAAGATCTTCCATCTGCTGATTCATTCCCCCAATGGCTGCAATAGCCAGAGCTGAATTGTTCTGAAGCCAGGAGTCTGGAGCTTGTTTTGGGTCTCTCATGAGGGTATATGGTCCCAAGGCCTTGGGCCATCCTCTGCTGCTGTCCCAGGGTATAAGCAGGGAGATAAATCAGAAGTAGAACAACAGCAGCTAGAACCAGTGTCTGTATGGGATGCTGGCACTACAAGGTAGATAATTATTGTGGCCTCCACGGTCTGTACTTTCAGGAAGCTTATCTATTACTAGGAACAGAAAGAGAATGCAAATAAATATTACTGCATTAGGCAGTTTCTTTGAGTTAAAAAAAATGGCCTTCCACCACCTGCCATAACTTCATAATTCTCAAAGTTAATTCTTTTTGATCCTAAAAATCTCTTGCATTTGAAAACAGATTTTGGTTTATAATTATGTCATCATAACCCATTGAGCTATGTGGATTGCCTCTGGTTCTGCTCAGCATTCACAGATCACAGGAGAAAGAAAAAGAAAGAAAAAGAGAGAAAAAGAAGTAAGGAAGGAAAAAAAGGAAAGAGAGAAAGAGGAAGGAAGGAAAGAAAGAAACAGGCTTCATTGTCCCTGAATTGATAATATTTACAGGTCCTTTTTAGTTGCTAGCTTTTAGTAGTTTAAAGAAATTAATCTTACAGACTTTTGATTAATTGTCCAGAGGCTGATTATTGATCAACAATAAGAGCAGAAAATCTAGGTTGCGATAGATCAGTGTTCTCTTGTGAAATTGAGGCAGAGCGGCAGTACACATGGATCACTCCTAACAATGGCCCATTCCTTGCATCATTAGTGGAAAATGATTTAGGGGAGGAGAAGACGGGGATTTATCTCTGTAAATTTTTTTGTTTGTTTTTGTTTCCCAGGCTCCAGTGCTGCCATTTCTTTCATATATGCCAGATCCAAGGAGTGGTCAAAGAATAGGGCAGTGTAAAGCACAAAGTTTGAAAATCCGCTGGCATCATCAATGATTAGTGTGCCAGGTGCACACGTAGCCGGGCAGACAAGCAGCTCCAGAGAAATAGTGGCAAAAATTAAGTTAGTAATGTGGTTCAGTTCAACAAACATTTAGTGAGAGTATGCTAGATTCCAGGAAAGAGATGTAAAGAGGGCCCTGCCTTTGATGCCTCATAGTGTACTAAAGAGGCCAAGCACAAAATAAGTTATCTCAGATTATTAATAAATGTCCACAAGAAAAGCACTGAGAAGTCACGAAAAATTGTTATATGTAGTGTTAGTATTGGTAGTAATCTCCATGATGTAAAGTGGTTGTAAACTTCAGAGTGCATGGTTAAGACTTTGTGTGCCTCTATTTTAACCTCCATTAATAGAACCGGAGCTAAAAGCACTTAGAATATAATAGGTTTGTTTCTTTTTTAAAAGATTCATTTATTTTTTGTTGAATAGGTGGATTTATAGAGAGGACAGACAGAAAGATCTTCATCCACTGATCCACTCCCCTGATGGCTGTTATGGCTAAGCTGAAGCCAGGAACCTGGAGCTTCTTCTAGGTTTCTCATGTGGCTCTATGGTTTCAAGGCTTGGGCCATCCTCTGCTGCTTTCCCAGGCCACAAGCAGGGAGCTGGATGGAAAGTGCAGCAGCCAGGACACTTACCTGGTCCTTATATGAAATGCTGACCCTTGCAGATAGAGGATTAGCCAATGGAACCATCACACCAGCTCTGCATGTTCATTTCTTACAAAGACTCTTCAGTGTCTTGATGATCTATTCACTTATTGTCACAAATAAAAGTTTTAGGTGGACCAGTTATTGGTTCTATACAGCAGCATTTACTTGGTGTTTAGAACTGTACTAGGTGCAGAGCAAAATAATGAAGAAAACACAATCCATGAACTCAGGTTGCTCAGGTTTGGAAGGATTGAATGGTGATCAAAAAGTAAAGACACTAAAAATGCAAGGTTATAATTAGCATTTCATAAATGTGCCTAGGTGGAGTGGGAAAAGGTTGAAGGCGTTTGTGTCAGACTGTAGGAGACAGGAAAACCTTCTCAGAATCAATATATGAAATTAATCTGCAAAAATGAGGCAGGTGTATTCACAGAGGAAGGCATCCATTCCATGGAGGCAGGCGGCTGTGCAATGGAAGAGAGGTGTAAAAATATGGCATTCTTTGTGCCTCCCAATCTCACAGTGTAACTCAATAAAGTGGTGCAAAAGTGACAGCTAGTACCTGAAGGGGCCCCATAAGATCCTTGTCAGCAAGGAGCCATGATCAGAAGAGGACCTGGGTGGACTCGTGTGGGGCTCAACAGGGGCAGCATTTGAGGAGACATTGAATTTAGGAAGAGGGAGAGGTTTGAAGAGAGTGATTTCTGTTTATTATGTTTGGGATAAGTAGAAACACACACAGGAAATGTCCAGAAAGTTGATTCCTAGTACATAGCTGAGCATGTTGGTTTGGTGATCATATGCAAGGGGTGCACATTAGAGAATTATTAGAAGATACAGAGAGAAAAAGAAGTATGCCCTCATGGCCTGAGGGTGCTGGGTGTGACATGGTAACAGAGGATCTCAGTCCCCTGTCAGTGTCTCCGTGACCCTCTGTCCATACCAAACCACCTTCCCACAATGAGGGCCTGTGGTGCAATCCGGGTTCTACTCAAACAACAACAACAACAACAACAACAAAAACCCCATCTTGTAGTACAATCTTCCAATCTGAAGTGATCTCATGCCAGTAAGATCTCTCTTCTGCAAAGCCACCTGGCCCTGAAGACTCACTCCAGAACTCCATCTCAGAATACTTTGTGGGGATTCATTGACAGTCAACAAAGAGGTGATTATGCCCACAGTGAAGACAGTAGGAGTTGTCTGAATTTGAAAAGGATGGCTAAAGCCAAAAAAGAGAGGTGAAAGAATTGAGCAGTGAAGAAATCAATATGTTTTGGTCAACATAGTTCACCTGGGAGTATAATATTTGGATTCAGCAGTAGCAGCAAGACATGCCTCTTAAGAACTCAGCATGTCCAGGAAATAGCTAAGAGTCGAAATACAGCCTTGCCACTTACCGGCCCCAATGTGGCTATTTGAGAAGCACAGGAAACCAGTTGGGAAAATAACTTTGGGAGGAAAATTGGTTAATTTTCAAAGAAAACACGAATTCCTATGAAATTTATCTATGTCTATTAAAACTACTCCTTTTTGCTTGCAAGAGAAATCAAACTAGGTTGCCATTCCATTTTGCAAAAAGACTTCGATTTTTCTTTGATCATATTTCTGTTCTTTTTCCTCAGTTATTCCTATAGGTTGCTTTATAAAGTTAATAATAAAAAAAAAACCACACGGCTGACTAAGCATTCTAATTCATGGTTATTTTTCTCCTGTTGATGCTGAGTGTATAGTTATGTATCTTCCAGGCTCCAAATATATAATGTGAAGTAGTAAACTATCTTGCTCAAGGCAATTATTTAAAGATTAAATATGGGGTCTTCAGGTTTGGTGGTTAAACAGAATATTGAGAAGTGGCAAAAGCTGAACATTAGCTTAAGCACTTAGGAACAGTGTGAACTCTGGTCCTCTCTTTGCTCTTCTGTAATGCTACTCCTAAAAGAGTGTTTTTGAAGAGAAGATGACACAGTGCACAAAAGGATGCTTTATCAACTGGCATCCCACTAACACATTAGATGCTGACATCATAGTTTTATTTACACTAAGACAACCCAAAATGTTTGTATCAACCATGAATGAAATACCTAGGCCAGATGGCTAAACCATCTGAAATTTTTTCTTACACTGTGGAGTATCTTTGCTCAGGTCGCTTGCTCACAAACAGTGTCATTTACAAACACAAACATACTGCCCATAGTTCTGGAGGTTGGAAATTCTGACTAAAGGCACCAGCAAAGTCCAAGTCTGGTGAAGTCTTGTTCCTTATAGATGGACTACCTGGCTGTACTGTCACATGGCACATGAACAGACTAATCTGCTTGGCCTCTTTCATGCAAGTACTGATCCCACTCATAAAGGCTCTGCTTTCATGACCTCATCACCACCTTAAAGTGCTGCCTGTTAATGCTGTTGCACTAGGTGATGGCCAAGCCTTTTGGAAGTGACTACGTTAGATGGTAGAGTCCTTGCGCATGGTACCAGTGCCCATGTAAAGGAGACTATGAGTACCAGCTAGTCCCCTCCAACATGAGATAATATAACTTGAAGGTGCTGTGAGAAACATGCCCTTGAAAGACACATCAGTATTTTGATATTAGATTTCCCAGATTCCAAAATGGTGAAAAACAAGCTCCTGTTTCTTGAAAGTCACCTGGTCTGTTAACTTGATGTAGCATCTTCAACAAAGAGAACACCACTTCTCTTCTACACTTTCTGTAGATTTTCATTTCTGTGTTGGGAGAACTCCTTTTCTGTAGGTGAATCATGAAAAGTAAACTTTTTTATATGAACCATGGTAGTAAAAAAGTTGAGATGCCTTAGGGCTTAGGGTACAAGATGGTCCTTTGTGGAGCCAGCCGTGCGACAAACAGAAGAGTTGTTCTTTCTAATTGTGTCATGCTTTCTCTTTTCAATCCAAGGTGACAGTAATGGATGGCGGTCCCTCTCCCAAGCAGTCAACAATTTGGGTGGTGGTTCAGATTCTGGATGAAAATGACAACAAGCCTCAGTTCCCAGAGAAGGTCTACCAGATCAAGCTGCCAGAACGTGACCGAAAAAAGAGAGGAGAACCAATTTATAGGGCATTTGCCTTTGATAGAGATGAAGGCCCCAACGCAGAAATCTCCTACAGTATTGTGGATGGCAATGATGACGGGAAGTTCTTTATTGACCCTAAAACAGGCATGGTTTCCTCCAGAAAGCAGTTCACAGCAGGGAGTTATGACATCCTAACGGTAAGATCTTCTGAAATCCAGCAACACTGATGGGAAGAAAGGATTACTTTTTCATGTGTGTGTATTCCTTTGAGCATTAAATCTTTAGGATAAATATGCAGCCTCAAAGCTGTGGAAGGTAAGTGCAGGTGAGATCTCTTGCTTGTTTGATATTCTGAAATAATGAGCCTGGTTTTTTGGTTGTGTTCTATCAGCAGCCCTAAATTATTCCCAAGGGTACTGAGCCTGGATGCAAACTGAAAGCAGTGGAACAGCAAAGGGATTCCTTCCCAGCACTAAAGAACATAGCACTCGGCATGTCCCCAAGATTTCCCAAGCAACTTTTTAAATTGTTGACAACATGATAGAACATGAATTTAGCTTTGTAAATTGTGAAATAGATAAAAGTGACACCTGTTTACTCAGTACCAAATTAAAAAAAAACCTTGATTATAAGTGACAAGTTAGAAACTAAAAATCAAAACCAGCATGAACATAATCTCAAACAGAAATGTAACCACATGTGACTGAGGTATATACCTCGAACCACCTTAGATGTAGACTGCCTGTGTTTCTGGCGAATAGGACTCATCTTTCACAAATGATGGACCTTTCAGAGTCCCAACAATTGTCAAGAGTTGGCACTATTCACCATCCTTCTCTTTCTCTTCAGCCTCCTCTGCTGTATGCAGTAATACCTTTATTATTTTAAGAATGATAAGAGTCCTTTTTCTTTTTTGGTCCTCAGGAACTAGGGATCTTTTCCCTGTTTAGTAACATATCCAGAACAGAAGGTAGAGAAAAGAAGATAATAAAATACCAGCCCTGTTCCTACCATTGATAACTCTGATGGAACATGTGTTGTTGCAGCTGTTTGAGAGTTGCAGTTGGGGACTCTGAGGATTCGATGCACTCTAGTGGATGCTGTTCATGTCCTGCCCATTCTCCTATAACATAGAGCTCTATCAGTCCCCCAGCTGCTGTGTTGGCTGTTAAGGGCTCACAGCTGCCTCCTTCTCTACAGAAGCATCCTTGGCTGATTGTTGACCCAAGAGACTCTCGTCTCCCACCCCAGCCAAGCCGCATACAGCCAATGAATGATTGGCCAGAGTATCCAAATGTACAATCCCTTAGCTTCCAGTGTGGGTGGACCTGACACAGAGCTTCCATGCATTACCTAGGACATCATTGCAAAATTCCTGCCCCTACCTATCCTGATCTCTTTACTTCCTTTATTTTAAAGGTCACCCCACCCTGCCAAGAAAATCACTTGCCCTAATGCTTATCTCAGCTCCCAGAGGAACCTAACATAGATGTGTATCTTTAAGGGTTTGGGGGGGCATCATGATAACCCATGAGCATACAGCATGAGGATGTTATAAATTGTCTCTGTTTTCAAAGGCTGCTGGCCCTGTGTCCCAAAATGGTACTTGTCAGGTGTAATACTTGAAATATCCTTGTAAACTTTTGTTTTGATCTTTCAGTTTTGTGTCAGTCTTTTTTGCTCATTGGATTTTTTTTTTTTTTGACTCTCCAACATTACACCACAGCAGTTCACCTCACCTGCCCAACTGGGCAAGGACACATGCTTTCCTCTACTCTTTTATCAGACTATGAGCATATAGCACACTGCTCCTAGGAGCTCATGCTGCCAACCAGGAACATGCACTTCATTGCGTTGCAGTCGGCATAACTGACAGCCCTGTAAGGCAATTACATCATGCCAGCTGCCTTTCCCAAGTCTGCCTCCATCACTCCTCTTGGGCCCTGTGTGAGTGAAGTACTTCTCCAGAATAATGTAAAAGGTAGAGCTGCAAAACCTGACACTACCCACACACACATACACACACTTTTCACGTGTCTTTCACACACAAATAAGTACTCACATTGCTCTTTATTTCTTTTCAAACATCAGTACCAGGCAAGAGCTTCAGGATCATTGCCATTAAGAGTTACAATAGCTATCCCTACTAGTGTAATTATCTTTCATGCCTATAAAGCACTGCATTACACTTTAAGTACAGCAGTTCTTGCAAACTTGGTGGAAGTCTAGATAGGCGTCTAGTGAACAAGGAGTGATCCCACCCCTTGACTCACTCGCACCCTCCAGATTCCTGAGATCATTTGTGCATCTCTTCTTGCAGGTCTCTATAATGAGCATGGACTCTTGGTCCAACAACACACGACTAACAGAGCCAAACTTCCACAGCACCAAGGCTCTAAGACATCTTTCTGTGTTCTCTCTCTGTGCAAGTAGATTAAGGCTGTGGACAATGGGCGCCCGCAGAAATCCTCCACAGCTCGCCTCCACATTGAATGGATTAAGAAACCACCTCCCTCACCCATCCCATTGACCTTCGATGAGCCATTTTATAACTTCACAATCATGGAGAGTGACAGAGTAACCGAAATTGTGGGGGTGGTGTCCGTGCAACCTGCTAACACCCCACTGTGGTTTGACATAGTTGGTAAGTTTGAATCACCCAGAGCAGTTTTGGGCAATGTGGTGGTAATTGATTGTTTGGAATGACTGGACATAAAATTAAATAAATAAAACTAAAAACTCGTGCTAAGATTAAAAGTTACATAGTGCTGGAATGCAAAAGAGCCAGTAAAATGAATAATCAACCTGTGCTTTCGTTCTGATTCTGTAGCTAAGCTGAACAGAAAGTGCTCTCTGGCTGGATTTCCATAGTACGTTATTTACTGCAATCTTAATGTCTTTCTGTGTGTCATTTAAATTCTATTGTCACACTTGGCTAATCTCATTTCTAAATGTATTGATGGTACTAGACTTGCTGTCCTTCATTTCTCTCTTTTTCTTCACCTTTTTTCTGCATTCTGTTCTTTTTTTTTTCTGCTCCCGACTGCCCTGCTTCAAGGTGGCAAGCATGCTCGAGAGATGTTCTATATTCTACAGACAGCTTGTGGGCAGAACTGTTCAACAGAAGGTACCCTTAGTGCAAACACATTTGCTAAAATACAGCTATCCAATCTGCCTTTTACTGGTTTTTTTTAAGCAAATTGAATTACATCTTTCATAACTGCCTGTGACAGGCTAAAGTGCAGCCCACAGATTTCATACATGCCTCTAACAGCCATTGCATTACTTGTATCCAATGACTCCTTTGTTTAAGGTTTGATGGGGTTTGGGTTGGGGGGGTTGTTTTGATTTTTTTGCTTTTGATTTTGAGGTATGTGGGCTTTTTGTTGTTTTGTTTATCTTTTTGTAGCTTTTTTCTATTGAACTGGGTCTTTTACACTTTAAAAGATAATTGAAGATGTATTCCAGCCCCTCTGTTTTATAGCAGCAGTGTCGTTTATATATCAAAAAGTTCCATTAAGAGAGTTCCCCTGACCACTGTCCATACAAGGAAGGGCAGGAAATGGATCATAAATACATAGCCAGTATGCGTCCCACACAAGCTAAATAGGGAAAAGCAAACGGAAGCATGCAAGATAGACTTGAGAGCCAACCTTTAAATTCCTTGAAAGCAAGCAAGCAAGCATGCTGGGCTGCAAAAAGAAAAGGGCAGAACAACACTGTTGCCCTCAACAATCCGGCAGGCAGAGGCACTGGCGAGGAAATAAGTGCCAAGGAAAGGGAAACAAAATAGGCCCGTTGCTGAGAGCAGAGAGGTACTGCCCAGATCTGACACTGTGTTGAACTCTTGCCACGTCCCACGCTTCTCAATGGAGGCAGAGAATCCAACAGAGCTGGGCTGGGAGAATCATTTCGTTCAACATGTTGCTGCCTGAGCAGGGTGCACAAAACCCTGCCTCTCCTCTCAGGAACAGCTGTATTGAGGAAAGCATCTAAATATATTCCATATCTATTGAAAGGAGACAAAGGAAGTCACCCGCCCACCTTGAAGCCTTAGGAGAGAGCCCTCTGACCTCCCAAAAAGAAAGGGTTCCTCTCTTTCATTGTTTATATAGGGTGAAAGTAAAAATGTCTTTGTTTTATTTAATTGGTATCAATTTAATTGTCCCAGCCCACCACCATCCTCATACAAGCTTTCAACTCCTTCTTCATCTCCACTTAGTGTATTGGAAATGGAACCTTTTGTGACCACTGAAATTTGTCTGCATTACTTCACCTTCTTTTCTCCCCCGTGCAACAAAGGGGGTTTTTAATATTCATTGCTTTTGTCTTTCTGCAGCCATTTTCAACACAGCTCCCGCAGAACATCACAGAAAATACGCTTCAGGTTCAGTGTGTGTGCTGGTTGCAGGGTTTTGAGGATCATGTGCAGTTATGATCTGTTATGATCGACCTGTAGAAGGGTGCAGTGGAAACCGAGCAGCCAATAGAATGTGGCTGTGCACTGAGTAGTTCTTTTGATGAAGACCCCAAGGATTGGTTCTCCAGTGGGATGCTTCCTTCACAGAGATCCCACTGTAAATCTAGTAACATCCAGCCAGGCTTCTCTTAGAAAATGAACTTACTGGGCCAGATGCCTGAATAGAACATGATTGTATTTCCATCCCCACATCCAATAACCATCATCTTGAAACGCCAACTCTGTATTTCACCACAGAGGTAAAACCCTTCCCCAGATGCTTCTAGTATTATGATACAGTTTCTCTTCCACCAAATCCCCCTTTGAAAATCTTCCTACTCTGTTAGAGTCATTTTTTCCCCTCATTCTGCTGACAACATCTTTCGTCTTCTTAAATACCTATTGTTTTCTTTATCGTATTCAGATGTTTCATTTTCACATTCAAGATTTCTTGCTTATTTTTCTTTGGTTATGGAAACACTCGTCTGTTTCTTCTTTCTTCTTTATCTCAGCATCCTTTTTAGCCAAGATCACATCAAAGGGATGGGAGGGAGCAGTTCTCAGTGCTTAAGATACAGCAGTGTATTGTAGGAAAATGTGAACAATTAATTCCAAGGCATAGGATGTCAGCATGCATCTGAAATGAAGTCTCTGGGAAAAGTACTGATCTGGCCAGGGTGAATAATCTCATGACTCTTCCAAGGGGGATCACGTTTGTTTCTTTTTGTATATCTAAGGCCTTAAGTCTTCTATACAGACAGATACATAGATAGCCAACATGCTGGCCAAGCACTTTTACCTTACAAATGCTGACTAATAAATTCTCAAGTAGGCAAAAATAGTATCTCAGCGTGTTTTTCCCCTGAAAATATAATCTCCTCATTTCTACATTTCCACATCTACCAACTACTTGTTCAAATACATTTCTTTTTCTCCAATCATGATAGTTCACCAAAACTGTGGCTGGACCTTGCATTGAGGATCCGCTAGATATCTCCGTGTGCCTCCAAAGATAGTTTGCTTACAATATGATACAGCTACACTACTTGGCTTCCAGAAGCAGAAGCACTGCATGGAACTGAGTTAAGAAAGTTGTAATTAAAAAGGAAACATAATAAGGTTGAACTGCTTTGGGTTCTCACAATCCAATGCACAGCATGTTCCTCTTCTGTGTTAAATGGGAAGGAAAATGAAGGGAACAAAAATAACCCATAATCCTTTGTGGTTTTTATCACGTATCTTCACACTTTTCAGGAGACTATGATTTCAACTCAGTAGCTCCTTGATTTATATACTCTCTGATGTGCACACAATCTGGTTCACAGTTCAGTTCCCATATCTTTATTCTGATGGCAAATATTTGAACTGTAAAAGCGACCCTTATGGCACACTTCAAACAATTGCTCTTTACCTAAGTTTGATAAGGACTGCTGCAACTGTTATTTTTTTTTTTCTTTTCAGTTTTTCACCTGAGTTAGACAGGAAGATGGTTTTCTTTGTAGATAGTGTGCATCTAACATGTTTTCATTTATTCATCCCATGATTTGCAAAGAGAAAGACTGTTTTGTAAGAATGATTCTCTTGGTAAATACCAGTTCACAGGTCCATTTCCGGCAGGAACATCTTTCTGTTTGCAGAGAATGTAAAGGCCACTGTGTCCTTAGTTTGTCACTGATCCCTGCAGACGTTGGGCTTCTACTTGGGCTCATAGCATGGGCCTGTTCTTCTTGAGCTTTGTTCCCAACCCTAACCCCTAATTTTTATATGATTGAATCACATGGGCCAGTTGAACTTTGATAGCACTGGCAGTGGCTTTAATATCTGACCAGAGTTTGGAGGTCTCTGGGTCTTCCTTAGGCCTGTGTCCATATTTTTGTTGATCATAAAACTATTCACTCACCCTTCTGGGGTGAACTAAACCAGCCATATCCACTTTTAATACACCTGTTCTTCTATCAGGGTGACTATTACTGAAATTCATTGGAATGATATTCAATTTTCATTTCTCTTATTCTGCTGTATTTTCCTAATTTGATCCTTGGTAGGCCTTTTTTTATGGCATAACAACCATCTGGTCCATAGGAGCACATCTATAGAGATTTTTTTCAGAAAGATTTATTTTATTGATTTGAAAGGCAGACTTACAGAAAAGAAGAGTGACAAAAAAGGGTCCATAATGATGGCTAGATTGGTTAATCCTCCCCATTGTAAGCACTGAGATCCCATACTGGTGGCAGTTTGTGTCTCAGCTACTCCACATCCCACCCAGTTTTCTGATTGTGCCTGGGAAGACAGGGGAATATCCAAAGCCTTGGGCCCCTGCTCCCATGTGAGAGACCAGAAGAGGCTCTGGCTACGGATCAGCTTAGTTCCAGCTATTGCAGCCACTTGGGAATTGAACCACCAGATGGAAAATATTTCTTTCTGTATCTTTTGTCTGTAAATCTGCCATTCCGATAAAAATAAATACATATTTTAAAAAGAGATGAAGAGAGAGACATATCTTCAATCAGTTGATTCATTTTCCAAATGTCCATAGCACCCGGAGCTGACTAGACCAGAGCAAGGAGCCAAGAACTCCACCTAAAAATCCCATGTGGATTCAGGAGTCCAAGGATGGGAGCCATTTTCCACTGATATCTCAGGCACATCAGCAGGAAGCTTGATTGAAAGTGGAACATCTTGGACTCGAACCAATGCCTATGTGGGGTGCTGGCATTGCAGACTGCAACTTAATATGATGCAGTGCTGGCCCCAGAGGCTTGAAGAAAATAATTTTAAAGCCTAGAAATACTTCATGTATCACTTGCTTTAACAAAAAGAATCTGGATTCTAGAAAGCATTTGGTTTCCTACCACTATTTCCTTGCCTCTACTTGGTGTCACCTGCCTTCCACGTAAATACCTTTTGCAACCCTGTACAGTGCTTGCTTCTTTCCAAGGAAGATTATACATGATGACACCCTAACTGGTGTTTAACGATTTGCTCTCAAATTTGGTGTACATGCTGAACTTGAATGAGCACCTTGCGTATGACACCCTTAATTCATTGAGATTCAGCAGCTCAGTGTTTTGGAAGCTTCTCACACAACACTTCCCCCACAGTGACTACTACATTTGGGGTTGGCATTTTTATAACTACACTGGTAGTGGAATGAAATTGTATGCTAGAGAACTAGAAGCTTCTCAAGGGGGACACTGTGGGAAATTTCACTATTCAAATCTATACAGAGACCTTGGTACTTCACACCCATCTTTAAAGGGGAAACTTGATTAAATTGTGACCTGGGGACCCCCCTCCCCTCTACCCAGCACAGTTAAGCAGTAGCAGATAGCTCAGGATTTCGTCATTCATGTCCCATTGTTACAGTCTTTCATCAGACATTCCTACTTGCTGTATTTAATTTTAGAACTCAGTAGCAGTCCAAAGTGCCACTTCTGCTCTTTGTTTACTAAACCTGTCTTGACCAAAAACGGTCAACCAGCAATGTCCCTGATGTGGATGATCTGTTATGTGGGCTGTTCACAACCTCGCTTTTAACCATCCCTGCCGCACACCCTTGCAGCAATGCTCAGGCTGTGACTTCTCTGATTCCCCACTTTGTTGACACTCAGATTGGCTCGGCAGTGTCCTCCCTTCTCCCCACCTTTTGTTGAGCCTCACGCTGCTGCACCAAATACACTCTGGCTTTGCATGTTCTGTTACTGGCTCTGAGGAAGCACACCTTGTTGAAATGGAATGCCGCTAGTGAAAATGGATTCCTTGCATTTGATATTCTCACCCGGGATGATTCGGACATGTTTTCCTACGAAAATGAAATCACCTTTCAGGCTAAAAGGAAACCTGAAAAATGAGACCTCGGGGAGAGATACAGAGTCATTTATGAAATGGCATGCTTAAGTGGTAGCTTATTAAATTGCGTGAGGGTTGATGGTGAACTGCTGGTCTAGATTCTGTGTCCCTTGTCAGAAATTCATTTTGAGGCTTAGGGAAGGTTTGCTTTACATAAAATTTTGGTTTAACTAGGAGCAAATGTCCTGGAAATGAGTATATATCAAGCCTGCTAGCCGTACTGATAGACTAAAAGATATTCAATGGCTCACTGCCAGCACACTTCACCCTGTTCTTGCAATGGGCTGACTCCCCTATCCCTTTAGACATCTCTATGGCGAATGAAGGAGACACACAAATACAGATACAGACACAATGCACACCAGCAAAGCAGCAGCTGTAAAAAATGACAACCCCCAAAGTGATCAAAATTCTATTTGAAATGAAGAATGACTAAGAAAAGAAACAATCTGCATTTCACATGTAAATTTATGCCACCGAGAATGTGGAATGGTTGTGTCCTTTATGTTAAAGCCTGAGGAAAACATTGCAGACGAGAACACACAGTCATACCCCATTTAAACGGTTGCTGAAGCTAGAGACTTGTGCTTGCATGTTCTCTGAACTTTATTGTCATATACCTTTGGACCAGAGCAAAGTGAAGTTATGTAGTTATCATGATTTCTGCTTTGTGAAATCTGGTTTACCTTCTTATATAATCCGAACCAGATGAGGACTTGTTTCTCCCACGTGCCCTTTCACCATAAAAAAAACAAAACAACAACAAAAAAATATCATGCTCAGATTGAAGAAAGTAACCATCTTTGGTGAGAAAATGTTCCCAAAGTCATTTAGAATATGATTACGTACACATCACTCAAGTCCTATGATATAATTTTGAGTCCTTTCTGTGGAACTCTGTAGCAAAGTATGTGCGTATGTGCGTTTCAGCATATACCACTTGATAGAAATGGTTTCCCCTTGCTCATCACGATGGTTAGTCTAGACTCTAAAATCTGCTTTCCATTTCATTTCCTATGATTATCAACATGAAACATTCCTTTGAATGAGAAACAGTGGTCTAAGGCTTGCCTCCTTTTTTGCCTAGATGTTCCCACCTTTTTTCTTATCCTGTTCTTCAGAAGATTTTTTTTGGCTTTAACATTTCGTGTTTCTCATAAGTCAATTAAAGATATTAATTGGAAGATGAGTCTCTTTTTAGATGAAATTTCTGAAAAATATATCATCTCCAAGCAATTTTCTGTACCCCTGTATCTCCATAACTTTAATTAAATGTCAAGGGCAATTATGTTCTCTCTTGCAATTAAATAATGTTAAGTGTATATGACAGATGCAAGCATTAAGAACTTGAAATATATGACCAGTTTCTTCATAGTAAACCATAGTATTTATTTTATGTCACTATACATCCAATTCTGGTAATTTAGGTTCATTTTTCCTTTCTGTTAAAGTATTTCATGTACAAATGTAATATCACAGAAGTGTACTGTTTATTGATCAACCAAGTGAAATGTAAAGAATAGAGAATATAAGAAGTCAAGATTTCTAAATTATGAAATCAGTAAGTGCATTACCCCACATGCTATAGTCAGAAAAAAGTACTGTCCAAGACTGAAATAAGTTAACACAATGCTGTTTCAGACTAACCAAATAGAGCTTGTAAGTATATTTCAGTGTTAATTTAAAAATTTCCAGCATTTCCAGGATCTTTTCTCCCTCCAGATAACTATGTTTATTTTGGAAGTATCTTAAACCACAACCTGGGACACCAAAACAGAGACATTAGCAGTAATTTCAGCAATGCCAATGTTATTTTGAGCATAGCACCTTCAGACCATGAGTTCTTACTGGCACAGGAAGAACAAAATATTCTAAACTTCATATAAATTGTTCTATAAGTTGATATTACATAAACTGATATTCTCCTTTAATCCTTTCTTAGTTCCATTTTGAGTTTTCCATAAACTTTCTACTTTTTTTTTACGAGAAAAATAATTTACACCGTAAAGGCAAACCAAATTTCCAAAAATATACCAGCTTGCCAATGTAGAGCTTTTAATATGAAATTCAGTGTGCTTTTTTGGCTTTTACTTATTTGCTAGTATTTATGGCTTTATTTCTGATATTTCACTGAGGGGATCTGAACTCTGCCAGCCAAGTGTTTACCATCAATCCAGGAATAGATTTAAGAGTGCTCATTTTTACTGATAATGGACTATGCATTTCCTTGGAACTTAATCAACTTTTGAACAAAGCCGAAAGATCTACAGATTCTTAGCACAGAAGCCACAAGGGGTGGGAGGGCCATTCAGTTTCTAAATATTTTGTGCAATCAGCTCATGCTTCAGTACTCTTACATTACTGCTGAGGTTTTTCTCTGCAATACATTCTCTCTTTGTTTTTAAAACATTTTTGAAATACTCTAGAGGCTGTGTTTTAAAATATGAATTAGGTTAGAAATAAAGAAGCCCCATTTAAGATATACAAACTGAGCCATAGGAAAGCCTGTCAAAAATATTTCAATGTGAGAATGCCTTGTAAAGACTGTGCTCAACACCTGTAATGATTTCTCAGATATGCTAATTTCATGTTGTTTCTGTGAAATCATCAGGGGGGAATTTTGACAGCTCTTTTGACGCAGAGAAAGGTGTCGGGACGATTGTCATTGCCAAGCCTTTGGATGCAGAGCAGAGATCTCTCTATAACATGACCGTGGAAGTCACCGATGGAACAAACGTTGCTGTCACTCAGGTAAGATGTTAAATTACTGAATAACAGGAATGTTGAAAGATCTGCTAAGTCAAGGGTGCAAGCAGTGAAGCGAAACGTGGTATTGGAAGCAGTAAATCATGTTCTTGGATTGCTGGCATTTGAAAAACTTAGAGAACCACGTAGGAAAAAGATTCTCTCAATGGTATTGGATAATCTTTCACGAGCTTGTGATTGTTCCTGTGTGGGAGAGTGATGTCTGTTTGCTTCCTGAACATTTACTGTTGATGTATCTCTGACAACAACATTAACTCTTGAATTTACAAAGAGGAGTTTGACCAAACCATTTAAGTTAACATGCTATGGTATTATTCTCCTCCTCTGGTTTGGGTGTTTATTTGTTGATTTGTTTTGTTTTGTTTTTTAGTATTTATTTATTTGAAAAAGTTAGAGAGATCTTCTATCCCTTGGTGTATTTGCCAAATGGCTACAAAAGCCAAGGTTGGTTCAGGCCAAAAGCAAGACCTTTTTCTTAGTTTTTCTGTAGATTCAAGAGTCCAAAGCCTTGGGCTGTTCTCCACTGCTTTCCCAGGCACAGTAACTGGGAGCTGGATTGGAAGTGAAGAATCCAGGACTCAAACTGGCACTCATTTGGCATACTTGTGTTGCAGGCAGCAGCTCAACTGGCTATGCCACAATGCTGGTCCCATCAAGGTATTTTAGTATCAGAAAGATAAAACTAGAGAATACCCAGGGATCCACATTCACTTTGCACATTGACAACAGTTGGGAAATCCACCCAAGATCACACAACATTAATAAAGCATAAGGACTAGGATCTAGGTGTCCTGACCCCTCCAACTCCAGCCTCTACAGCACTGGTTCCTTGCCCAGGCTCCACAACAGAATCCCCTAGTTGTGGGGAGAGTTAAACACTGATGGCTTTCGCCTCCATCCCCAGAGATCCATCACGGTTGTCATGTGCAGCCATGGTGGAAGACTGCCCTTTGCACTCTGCAACTTCACACAAATAAACATGTGATGAGAGTCAGGAAGGACAGGAAGATCCCTGGGCATTTCCTATGGCTCAGTACACCTTCTTCAGTGAGACCAACACAATGTTCGTATTAACATGGCGCAGGCTTTCCCTGTCTGCAGATAAGAGGATTTTGTGTGTGTGTGTGTGTGTTCTTCCTTGGTAACAGAAACCAAGGTCAGTTAAGAGGGCAAGCCAGTGCCTATGCAGATGCATATATCGTAACCCCTATCTTCCTCTGCTCTTCTCACCTCTAAAAGGCATCACTAACTGATAAAGGCCCTTTTCTCTGCTCAGCATCTGTCTCAGTGCAATGCTTCAGGTAGGAAGATGACATTTTTGCCAACCTTGAAGCAAGCAAGTATTGGTTTATTTTCAGTATGGTATAAGCTTTCCTAACTATACTTTGTTTTAAAGGGGAGAGGTATTTTGTGTTTTTGTTGAGCCAACCGCCTCCTAGTTTAAACTTGATTCAAGCACTTAATGACACTCCTTTCACTCTAAGTATAAAATAGTAGCATTTTAAGGAAAGAACAGGGTTCATTGTAGTACAATCACTGTATATTTTTTTTTGCATAAATCCAAGAAAATGGAGGTGCCTTAAACAGGTAAGGCAGCTTGTGTATGATTGTTTCTGATCTTACAAGTTGTGTCTGTTCCCACTAATCTGATAAAGCAGAGTGGTGGCCATAGGATTCCATTTGCTGCAAATGATCTTGCCTGCACCTGTTGCACTGGCAGGATTATTAGTGGTATTCCATCCTCTTGCAAAACTGCCCAGTGGAGAAAATAAATTGTGTGGGCACCCTACTTAAACCACAGCACTTCAGGTTATTTTCAACACTAAACTATAGACTTCATAGCAAGAGCCTCAAGCTGAGGTCCTGTGGGAAGCACATAATTTAAAACTCTGCCCAAACACTAAAGCAAAGCAACCCACTTAATGTATTTCTAAGTCTTTAGTGCTAAATTATCTCAAGTACAACTTTAGCTTTTTTTTAAAATTAGCCTGTCTTATAACCTCAAACCTGGATTTCCTGCTGTCTTAAAAAGATAAGATACAAAAAGGTAAAAATGGAATTAAAAGAAATACTTTTTAGTGTAAAAACTGTTGAAACCCGTGCAGTTGTTTTTCAAAACATGTATTTCCTGTGAACGTTTTTCATGATTCCTCATAAGTAAATAAAATACAACCAGAGCGATGAGTCATATTAATTTCCAGTCTTTGGAGTTTTATACTACTGAATGAAAATGGTCTTGAGTGTGTCTAAAATGTTACAGATACTTGTTAAATACTTTTAGAATGAACGGATGAATAGTAGATACTGCACTTTCAGCATGGTGTATGTGGCCAGCATGTTGGAGCAGCAAAACACACAACTGAGGGAGGAATGGTGGTGGGAAGGGAGCAGGCACTATAGTACAGTGCATTAACCCACCGCTTGGGATGCCAGCTGCCTTTGTCAGGAGTGTGGCTTTTCTGGCTACTAACAGTTCCAATCCTGCTCCATCCTGATGAGTCAGGGAAGGCAGCAAATGATGCTCCATGTTCTTGGGTCCCTGCCACCAATGAGGGAGATGGCCAATGAACTTCCAGACCCCTGGCTTCATTCTGGTTCAGCCTCGACTTTTGCAGGCATGTGAGAAGTGAGTCAATACATGGAGTAAGTCTTTGTGTCTGTCCTTCTCTCTGTGTCACTCTGCCTTTAAAATAAAACAAGAAATCTCTTAAGTGCTGCTTGTTTAAAGATTTATTTTTATTGAAAAGGCAAATAGAGAGGAGACACAGAGAATGATGCTCCGTTTCTTGGCCTACTCCTTACATGGCTGCAAAGGCCAGAGCTGAGCTGATCCAAATCCAGGAGCCAGAAGCTTCTTCCAGGTCTCACACATGGGTGCAGATTCCCAAGGCCCTGGACTGTCCCCAACTGCTTTCCCAGGCCACCAGCGGGGAGCTGGATGGGAAGTAAAGCAGCCGGGACACAAACCAGCACCCATATGGAATCTTGTTGCATGCAAAGTGAGGATTTTAGCCACGAGGCTACCACCCTGGGCCCTTAAGTGTTCTTAATGGAACATTTTTTTTCCAGAATTTCTTTAGGACCAGATAAGAAATCTTATAACAGCATTTATTCCAGAAATAGTGTTTGAGTTCATCCAATCTACTAAAAGGTGTCTCAGGTGTTGAGATTGCAATGATATAATATGAAATTCAGATGACTAATATGCACTCATGAATAAAGTAATATAAAGTATATAATCACAGGACTTGAACATAATTTTGTTTGAGTTCCATTCTTGATTTTCTTTCAGACTAATTTACAGTTATACTCATCACTAGAGCAGTTCAAAAGGAGTTAAGCAGTGAGGTGATCTTGAAATTCCCCCTTGGCCAGATCAAGCTAAGGAGGCAAACAGAAGGTGTTAAGAGATGTACTTTTCAAAAGCAACAAAGTTATTTCGTGTCCTCAGAGTCATCACCTTCTTAAGTGAGAGCTAACAGTTTCCAAAGTAAAAACTTGCATGTCACAGCCATTACCATCAAATGCGCTATGACATGGTCTGAATTCAACCACCACCAGTGCCAGCCCAGGCCTCTCGCTCCTTCTCTGTGGTTTCCCAGGCAATGGTGACGAGAGTAGTTCTTTGAATTAGTCAGTGCCCCGCCACCCTGTGTCAAGGACATTTTCACAGAAAGAGGTTTGGGAAAATAAAAAGGCATTCTAGAAATCTCTGCGAAACCAATGAAGCATGCATCAGTCCATGACCCTAAACGACTTAATGATTTCACCATCAAACGAAACTTTTCACCATGTAGCTAAATAAATGTCCTGTAGCCCCCAAACACCTGTTCAGTGTTCCTTTGGGGACTTTTCTCTACTTTGTTCATTTAGAAGCATAAAACATGGTATGACATGGGCTTCAAATCAGCCATAAACAATATGTTGAATTTTACTTCACAAATGTCACATAAATCAGAACCTTAGGGATTTGGTATCTACATGAAAACACTGCCTTCATCTTCAGTTTGGTCCTCTTCTCCCAACTCTCCCAGGATCCCTGTGCCTCAGAGCTACAATATGTGATGACGAATAAACATGCTTTTCTTTCCTGAGATTCCCTAGTGTGAGTACGGAATGTAAAAAGAGCTTGTGGTTTTAAGGTATAAGGATTCAGCAGAACTAACTGCAAGAACAAAGCACCCCAACATTTATAAAACCTCCTGGCAAGACGAACAAAGGCCTCCCACCAAGTAGTTGTTATATTGTGAGGGATATTATGGTAGCTTGTATAATGTGGGACTTGATGGTGAGGGCTTTGTAGTAGATAAAGCTGTGTCCCCATGCCAACCCTGCCTTTCTGAGTCACCTCAAGCATGTTGTTTAATTTCTCTGTACCACAAACTGTTTACCTGTAAAATACCTTACCTATATCATTAGTGTTGTCATTAGGATTACCTGCACTTATGCATGCAGAATGTTAGCATGAGGTATAAATGTAATAAATACTTTATTCATCACTGCAGTGAAATACGCAAGGAGACTAGCTTTTTAAATCAACAGGGTTTGTGTATGATTGTGGAGGTTCGCAGTCTAAGGTGGAACCCTTGTTCTGCTCTAGTGACAGTGGTCTTGCTGACAGGGTCACAGAGTGGCTCAGAGCATCACACGGAAAGGGGAAGCCTGTATAACTACATCAGAATTGAGCCGTATCTTAATGACTCCACCAGAATTCAGCCAAATCTTAACAACTCAATCCATTTACTTCCCAAATGTTCCACTTCACAGTAGTCAGTTGAAGTTCCTTAGCTTCTTTGAGTTGCTGCAGTGTGGAAGTTGGCTTCGGAGTTGTGAGCCGTGAGTGCCCGAGACAGAGCTCTGATGAGGAGAGTGACCCAGAGTCTGCATCCCAGGCATGGAGTACACACATCTTCTAGATATTTTCTAACTTGTCCTAGGATGGAAAGCTCAAGCCGGAATGTCAAGGCACTCCCTGGGTAGCTAAC